TTGCAGCCCTGCTTCTCTATGTGGGATGCTACCAGGCTAGTATTCTTTCTTTTTTGTTGACAGCTCTACTTTTTTTCATCCATGGCTTGTTTTGAATTGGAACACTTATAGAACTATTATTTTGAATTTTTCATTTTTCATGTCTGAGATTCCTAATATAGAGAAGAGTATAAGTTTGTAAATAGCAAGAATGCAAATATAGAATGCAGCATCAAGAAGGATCCTTGTCCAATGTTTTCGTTGACCAAAAGTCTTTGTTGTAATTTAACTGGTTCTTCTTCCTATAAACAACCTTTTAGATATCATTTGGCCCTATCAGTTGGCTAATGGTGTCAGAGATTTTCCCACTTCGAACAAGAGGCAAAGGGATTAGTCTGGCCGTCCTGACTAACTTTGGTTCAAATGCTATTGTGACCTTTGCATTCTCACCGTTGAAGGTATTTGTTAAATTTCCACTAATCTCGGCTATCATTGTTAACTATTTGTACACTCACACTATGAACTGGATCAATATCTGATTCTGCAGGAGCTACTTGGAGCAGACAACCTTTTTCTTCTTTTTGGTGCTATTGCTTTGTTATCACTCTTGTTCGTAGCATTATATGTCCCAGAGACTAAAGGACTGAGTTTGGAAGAGATCGAATCCAAAATCCTGAATTGAAAGCACAGAATTCCTGAAACTGTCATCATGAGCTTCAATATACATCAAAATTACTTCTCCATGAATTATTCGTATCTAGGTGAATAGCATTGGGAGGTTATCTATTGTAAACCCCATATTCTGGTATTTGTTATGACACACTTTAGATGAAAATTCCTTAGAAAATGTAAATTAAGTGTTGGATAATGGCCTTTAAGCTTATAAAGATAAGCAATTTACTGTCTTGATAGACATTATTGTGTTCAATTGTGAACATCTAATTGTCACCATGCTCTAATCTATTCTGTTAACAGGAAGCCGGGAGGCATAAGAAATTCATGTCTGTAAATGTGGGCATTTCAAAAATAATAATAATAATTTTATTGCTAACAATTTTATTACTATCTACAAGAAGTTGAAACTGCCAAAAACATCCTTATAATGCTGAAAAACTGAAATTCCATTCAACCTCTGAAGTTGAAGGATTTAACGCCCATTGTTGAGGATTGAGTCAGTGCTGGAATGGGAATTAGAAGGAAATGACTTTATGAAATCAGAAAATGCTTGATTGTTTGACATGGCCATACCATTTTCAATATTCTCTGGTGAAAAATCCGGCAAACTGGTATTCCCATTGAGGTACTGGAGCACTTGCCTCATGCTAGGCCTGGCTGACGGCTGTGACTGTGAACATAGCAGTCCCAGTTTCAGAACCAACTCCATTTCCTCCACTGGAAAATTCCCTTCCAATCTTGGATCACAAGCACAAAAAATAGCTCCTCTTTTCCAGCATTTTGTGATCGACTCAACCAAGAATACTTCTTCAGCCTGTCTCCATTGCTCTATAGGCCTCCTTCCGCAGGCTACTTCAAGCAGAAATGCCCCGAAAGCAAACACATCAGTGCTAGTACTTGCCATCCCGGTTCTGGTAAGCTCTGGAGCAAGATATCCTATAGTTCCCACCAGGTTAGTAGTCCCTGGCTTCGCACCATGATCATGCAGTCTAGCTAGTCCGAAATCTCCTAATCTTCCATTTAGATTTGAATCCAACAGAACATTGCTAGCTTTAACATCTCTGTGTAGAACAACCTGCTCCCATTCTTCATGAAGGTAAAGCAAGGCAGATGCAACATCTCTGAGGATTCGATACCTTTGAGACCAAGTAAGGAGTGGTCTTCCATTGCTGAACAAGAACGTGTCAAGACTTCCATTAGGCATGTAATCATATACCAGGAGAAGTTCTCCCTTTCGCCTGCAATATCCAAGGAGCTGCACCAAATTTCTGTGCCTTAGTCTTCCCATGCTTACAATCTCTGCGACAAATTGCTTCATCCCTTGTTTGGAATCGTGGGAGATTCTTTTTACAGCAATCTGCGCAGTGGAAGAAGGAAGTGTTCCTCTATATACCTTTCCAAATCCTCCAGATCCCAGAAGTTGTTTCTCTTTGAACCCCCTTGTTGCTTGGTAGAGAGTCTTGTATGAGAACCTTTGAGGTCCATATTCCCTCTCCCATTCTTCATGTACTTCACTGTATTTCCTTCTCCAAAAAAGATAACCAGCTCCATAGATTGTTGCAAGCGCAACAACTGCTACTAACAAAATAATAACCAATCCTTCTCGCCTCTTACTTTCTCCATCATGCGTGGGGAGATGTGGAAGCTGTGAAATTTCGAGGCTTTGTGCTTTTCCATTCTTCGAAAAACTCCATCCAAGAATATAGTGGTCACTGGCAGCTGAACTACCAGTAGCTGCTGAGAAACCAACATACATTTCATCCAAGAAAATTTCTGACAGATCAATGGAAATTGACAGGAGGGGCCAATCTGGCTTTAGGCTTGTGATTGGTGCTAGAGTTACATTCAGCAACCCTTCTTCTTCATCGTAGTCTATCCAAACCTGCATGATATCTCCACTTA